GGGCCTGATCCTGACGCTGGCGTTGCCGCTGCAAAGCTGCGAAAGCAGAGCGAGCCTTTTGAAGCCAAAGGAGAGAGCCCGGGGGTTGCAGGGGGCCTGGAGGTGGCTGCGTGGGAAGAACCCCTCAGGCAGTGCTGGGGGAGCGCCAGGGGCGAGGTGGGGGGCAGGAGCGGGGCTTGGCGGCGGGATGGAGGCAGGGACGGAAGGTGCCAGTGGGCTGCCGGCGCAGCCTCCTCTACAGCACTTCATGCTGCTGCTGGGTCGCCTCGCTCACCACCTGCCAGGAGAGAGGCACCGTGAGACACCACACCTTACCGAGACACCACGCCCTACCGGCACCGGAGCCCAGGGTGTGGGATCAGGCTCCGTGATTGGACCCCCCCACACTTCCCCACCACACCCTGAGCTCACCTCCCCATCACGGGTTTCAATGGTTTTGATCATCACGGTCTTTTTGGTGTGCACCTCGGAGCCACGCTGTTCTGGGCTGGTCTCTGCAGATGGGAGGGGAGCACAGGGTTGTGTGGCACAGGGGCATGGCAGTGGGGCTGAGGCCACTGAGGGGGTCTCACAGCCCTGACGTAACTCCTGGTTAGTTCATGGCAACACCCAGTGGAGTGCCCCCACACCAGGGGCTCAGTGTAGTACCCGTGGGTCCTCCCCACATCGCTACCCTGGCCACAGTCCCCCAGGAGGGAGTTTTTCCCCCACACTGAGGACCCCAGAGGACTTGTTGCATGTCCCACTCCTCATGGGGTGATGCTTACCTCGGAAATTGAGTGCAGAGGCGAAGGTCTGGTGCATGGGGATGCTGATCCTGTGGGGACACAGATGGGAGGGCTCAGTTCCAGCCAGCCCCAGCCCTCGGACAGTTGCTTAGAGGGTGGCAGCCTCCCAAAACAGCTGACTCTGCTGGTCCTCCCACCTTGTCCCATCCCCTGGCTACTTACCGGTTCTCCTCGCCCTCCAGCAGCTTGCGGTATGTGGCAATCTCTACATCCAGGGCCATCTTGACATTGAGCAGGTCCTGGTACTCACGCAGGTGCCGAGCCATCTCATCCTTCAGGTGCCGGATCTCCTCCTCCAGCCGGGCGATGGTATCCTGGTACCCACCAGCCTCCGTGGCAAAGCGCTCCTCCATCTCCCGCATCTGGCGCATCAGTGAGTCGTTCTGGGGAGACAGGGAGCTCAGCGAGGGGGGAGCCAGAGGGACCAAGGGTCACCTAGAGTGGGAGCTGGGGACGCTGTAGTGGTCCCAGGGGAGAGCCAGGGACCCGGGACATCCATAGTCATCCGTGTGCTGGGTCCAGCTGACATGGGACTGCGATGGGTGGCTGTCACCCTCCATCTGTGCAGTGCTGGGCAGCAGGGTTTGTCGGGAGGAAGCTGGACAGGTGGTGGGCAACACCAGCACCCTCTGCTGGGGTGCCCAGGCTCATCAGCAAAGCCATCCCACCCTGTCAAAAGGGCACGGCACAGTAGCCTGGGGGTTGCACTGTCACACTGGTTGCTGTTGGCTGGCTCCTGTGACTGTCACTGTGCCACAGCAGGTCTGTTGTGCCCTGTTTGTTTGCAGTCTGGGAAAGACTGCAACCAGACACCTCAAGCCCTGTGCCCGCCTGCCTGGAGCCTCCCAGGCTGGGGCTCCTTTGCAATCTGCGGCTTGACCCCAGGGTTCCACCAAAACACTTTGCAGAGGCCCAGACTGCCACTGGGGGACATGCAGCCCAAATCTGGGGAATCAGTCCCCTCGTGGCAGCAACTTCAGAGACAGGAAGAGCTCCCTACCCCAGAGATGTCCCAGAGGTTCCCGAGCAGCCCTAGAGCAACAGGCCCCTGCAGGGAAGCTGGGGCCTCCCTGATGCTGCACACAGCTTACCGTGCCCTTGAGGGCATCAATCTCGCAGGTGTAGGACTGGATCTGGTGCCGGTACTCCAGCATCTCCTGTTTCGCCTGTCGCAGCGCGTCGTTGTTCTTGTTGGCCGCCTGCGTCAGGTCAGACACCTGGGGAGAGACCAGGGTCAGTGGGCACGGGCACTGGGAGGGCTGGGACCCACTGTGCCTGGGCCAGTCCAGAACCCGCCACCTCCCGCACCTTGGACTTGTACCACTCCTCAGCCTCAGCGATGTTCTTGGCAGCAATGCTCTCATACTGAGCACGGATGTCCCGCAGCGCAGCCGTCAGGTCAGGCTTGGAGATGTCCATCTCCACTTGGATGTGCTGCTCCTGCAGCTGAGCCTGCAGCTCCCGGATTTCCTGGACGGACAAGATGACACCTCAGGACACCCGCTCCTTCCCCTAGCCCCACGGATGACCATGGGAAAGGGAATCATCCCCCGTCACCACCTACCTCTTCGTGCACTTTCTTGAGGAAGGCGATCTCCTCCTGCAGGGACTCGATGCGTCTTTCCAGGTCAATGCGTGCCAGCGTGGCTGCATCCACGTCCTGGGGGCACACAGAGTGAGGGGTAGCAGGGGGATGTGGGGAGAGTACCAGGGCTGGAAAGTGCAAAGCTGTGCCCAGGGCCATACCCCGGTGCTGGTGCTAGCAAGGGAGGCAGAGGTCCCACGGCAGGGAGGGGATAGGTACTCACGGCTCTGAAAGCAGCTAGGTTGTTCTCAGCCTCCTCCTTCAGCTGGATCTCCTCTTGCAGCCTGCAGGCAGAGAGAGAGGACGTTAGGGGGTCTTGGGAGAGGTCTGGAGAAAGCCCTGTCCCCTGGCAACAATGTCCACCCGAGCTGTCCCTGAGCCCAGTGGGAAGATGACGGACTGTCCTGCATTCCCGGCAGGCGGCGGGACGGCTGGCGAGGGGCCAGGGGCTCTTCCTCCCATTCCCTATTATAGTCAATGCCGGAGAGAGTACAAAGGCATGAGGTCAGCTCGGTGCCACGCGCGCTGCCCCGGCCCTTATAGGGGAGAGTGGCCGGCAGCTGGGGGGACAGGGTGCAGCAACCAGCACAGGGGTCCCAAGGGATGGCCACCGGCTGAGCCGTCTCAGGGAGAGCAGGAGGCCAGGCGGGTCACAGCGATGCTGTGGGAGGGGGGCATGGAGTGGGGTCCGCTGGGGTGTGAGCCCAAGGTCAGGGCCAGGGAGCCGGCTGTGCCAGGGCTGAGGGCAGTGCCGCAGGCTGCCCATCAGGGACAAGGCAGCAGGGAGGAGACAGAGGTGCTGGGGTGGAGCTGGCACATGGCATGGCAGGAACCGGACACCCACTTCTTCTGGGCCCTGCTCCTCCCCTGACATGGAGGGGTCCTCCACACCCCAAGCCCCACAGCATCAGAGGCTCTGCCCCATCACGACCCCAGCACTGGCCATCTGGGACAGAGGCTGGGGTTGCAGGGGGAAGTGGTAGGCTGTGTCATCCCCAGGAGATGGGGGCTCGGCATCCTTGGGCCACAGGGGCCAGGAGAGAAAATGCAAATCAGCATCAGAACAAGAGGCTGACCCTGAGCATCTGCGGCTGCCAGGTCCCCCCATGCTGGTCAGTCTCTGGGGAGGGGGTCACTCAGCCTGGCTGCCCTTGCAGCTATTCCCTCCTAGTCCCAGTCCCCGCCCTGGCACCAGCCAGGCTCACAGCCTCCTTGGGGGTTCCCCTCTGTTCCCTGAGTACTGTGGACACCCACGGCAGGCCCAGAGCATCCCTGGCCTGCGGAAGAGTGGCTGCTTCCTCCCCTCCCTCCTTCGCATCCGGAGATGGTGGAATTCCCCCACCCTGCCCTGGATCATCCCCCTCCTTGTTTCCGCCTGCCTGTCAGGATCTGTCCATCTGTGTGTACCACAGGGCTCAGCTCACCCAGAGGCTCACCAGCCCTGCTTGGTGTGAGCAGGGATGTGGACAAGGAGGGTACACTCCAATCCCCCAGCTCTGGGTGATCCCTGGCACCACAGTCCAGCCTCAGTCCCACTGCCAGGGAGGCCATGAGGGACATCTCTGCTGCCAGAGCCATCCTGCCCACTGGGTGCTGCCTGGGTACCTGGCAAGAGCTGGCAGAGGCTGTCCAGAGTGTCCTGCTGAGATGCTCAGGCTGTGGGAACCTCTCTCACACAGCCCCACTTTGCTGGGCAATCTGCCCTCTCCCCCGACCCCAAATCACATTGTGGGTAGCGGAGGACCCAGCTCTGGCATAATGCATCACAGGTGTCCTTCTACCTCCCAAAACTCATAGCCACCATCCCAGGACCTGGCACCCTGCAAAATGCCCTGAATGTGGGTGCAGCCAGTGATATGCACATCTGGGGTGCTCTCTCACCCCAGAAGATGGGGTGAATGGGACAGGATAGTGGGGCTATGGTGGGCTTCAAGCACAGGGCACAGGGACAGCAGTGAGCACCCAAGGGGTTGCCAGGGCAAGCTCTGCCACCACCCATCCCTAGGGATGAAGACGCAGGGATGGATGCCCGCAGGGACACGCCAGGACCCGTCCTCACCTCTGCTTGAGCTTCTGCAGGTCATCGAGCAGGTTGTCACGCTCGACTTCGACGCGGGCCCGCTGGCTGGTGAGCAGGTCCACCTGGCGCCGGAGCTCCCGCAGCTCCTCCTCGTACATCTCAGCCACGCGGGTGGGCTCCTTGCCCCGCAGGCGGTTCACCTCGGCCACCATGAGGGCATTCTGCTGCTCCAAGAAGCGTACCTTCTCGATGTAGTTGGCGAAGCGGTCATTGAGCTCCTGCAGCTCCACCTTCTCGTTGGTGCGAGTCTGGAGGAACTCCTGGTTCATGGCATCGGCCAGGCTGAAGTCCAGCAGCTCGCCGGCACCTTGGTAGGCACTTTGGTAGGAGCGCAGGGGCGTCACTCGGGTCGTGCGGAAGCTCGACAGGCTGGGCACGGCCGAGCTGCGGGACACCTGGTAGACACGGGAGGTGACGGAGCTGCCGCTGCTGCCCTTGCCCCCGAAGGAGGCGCGGGAGAAGACCGGGGAGGCACCGCCGAAGGTGCGGCGGTAGGAAGAGACCCGCTGGCTGGAGGAGTAGGACTGGCTCATGGTGGCGGCGAGGGGCGGCGAGGCCGGAGCGGGAGC